AACAATTAGACATTCTAAAAAACTACTGGATGAATTGACTCCAATTTTGTTGTGATTATTCGGAAGTATCAAGCCTACGGATTTGGAGAATTTCAAGTAGCTGCTTAAAATTATGGTCGCGTTACCAACAAGTGCTAAAACCTGCATTTTGCATTGGTTTTCGGCCATAACTTTATTACTATTAGTCAGATCTTTTTACGTGTGGTCTCATTCTGTAGGTCTCATAAATACCTAAAAATATCATTTCTAGAGTTTTTTTGGTTTCTGACAACACTTTCGATTGAATCCCAAAAAACGTTTCATCATTCTTTGTTGTCGAATAAAAAGTTTTCAGACAAAAATTGGTGTATCCATTTTATGCGTCCATGTTTTGAATACCCCCTTGAACAACTTAAAGCAATAGAACCAGACTTTACAATTATTATTTCGCAAACCAGGGGTATTTTCGTCTAATATGATTAGACTAATGAGTTTATCTATCGATATAAACGCTGCAAAACATGAATCCGGATGAGCTTGAAGAAATCCATCTGAATAAATTCGTGAACAAATTGTTGATGTAAAACGGGTATAAGATTTGAATTAGTAACCGACCTTCACCCATCTGTTTAATGAATGAAGAGTATTTTTATCAAGTACGAGTATCATAAAAATATATCGCGAGTGGGTTGATTTGTTGAGACTATGATAATTTTCGATCATTAAACAGGTGGGTAAGGTTGTTTCTAATTCGGATCTTCTACTGTATTGGGCGCCAATAATAGTAAAGTATTTTTCACGAGTATCCATTATGGTAGAATAACAGCTGATTAGTGATATATAAAAACTCCCCATATCGACAAATGACTTAATTCTGACGATTATTTTGTACTTGAACTATATTATTTTGAAAACTTGATTGAAGGGCACTCATACGTAACGACAATGTTTTCGAGACAGAGACACACAACTAAAAAACGTATGTCTTTGAGCGTTCACACAGGGGTAGGTTGCATGTGTATGTATGAGGGAGATGGAGATATGTAAAGGGATACTGGGTAGGTCTTACTTGACCCGCCAAGAACGGTGGACTCTAACTATACAAAGGTGTCACTTGCTGATCAGTTGTTCACCTCAGTGTTGTATCCTTATAACTTTATGCTCCCTGTAAAATATGTCAGTGTCATGTATTTGAATCAACACTGCAATGTCAAGTCCGCTGGGGCAATGTAAGCACATGTTAGTCGTTAGTTTATAAATCCTAAATTGGGATTAATCCTTCATTTATTACGTGTAATACACAACACTCAGTAGACATCGAAACGTAATGGGATACTCGTGTAATAATAATATTACGGGTCTTCAAAAACCAAAAGTTCGAAAGAGAAAAGGTTAAAATCGCTTAAAATAAACTCAAAATACTGTTTATGGTCATGTAGAGCAAGGTTTTAACCTTAATTTAGATACTTGGCGACCTCAAAAATTATAATTTTTAAGAGAGTTTTTTAAGCATTGAATATATCCCCTGGTAAGCCAGATCAAATTTGTTTCATGCTTTTTTAGATTATTCCATTAATTTTTCTCTAATGCTGACCATTTCGAATTATACGCGATTGTAGTGCCTGAAAAGCCTTGAAAATGGGTATATTCAGTGCTTGAAAACTTTTGTATAAATTATATTTTCGAGCCAAAAATTGGCATACGGTTTTCGCAGACTGAACTTCAGCACACCTTACCTTGATTCACTGACAATGTAATATTTACATTTGATCATTTCAAAGTTTTTTGTAGTTGAAACAATAAGAACTATATGATAAGTTTAGGTAAAGAACAAATCAAATTTTTATATTGTGGGCCTATTGTACATATATTTATATTATATTAGAGTAAAAACGTTCTTCTATATTGAATGATTCTGTATAATGATACAGGTTTCCTCATTCCTGGGCAGCTATTAATGTGGTAGCCTCTTATATATAAGAATGTTCAAAGTTTAGAAATATATATATGGAAAAATAAATTGGATACTGTTACATCAATACTCCAAGTAGATACAGTTAAAATAAGCAATATTGTTCCATAATAGTGATTAAATCGATACTTTCCAGTATTATTATAAATAGTGATTAGTTCCTTTTGCCATATTATGTGTATATATAAGATCCATAATAATATTAGCAGCAATAATACTGTCTTCCTATAAACAATAAACGTTTTATCTCATTTTGCTTTGTGATAAATTTATTTTTGTTTGCAATATTTTGGCTTTAATTTCTATGAAATCTTGGATTATGCAGTCTGTAGGATACATCTAAATTTGTAATGTATATAGTTCTTTCAGCTGGTATAAAAAGCAGAAACTTTCCTGCCATTTCGTCTGTCATAGCAGCATATTTCAATTTCTGGAATATGCAGTAAGTTAAAAATGTGAAAACCTCCTCAACAAAAAGGGAAACGATATATTCCTGACATTTAAAATTATCTTTTAATTGATACTTACATACTTTCAGTTAGGTATGAATTGAATAAATCTATTTCCTACAGATTGACACTTTTTATAAAAAATATAGATTTACTTTTTGTTGGTCATATTGAGTTTATTATCTATTATGATGATGATTTTAAGATCCTATATTTTATTGAATATGTATTTATTCGTTATTTAATATGATTTAGTACAAACTAGCATTTAAATTTACTTTCAAGTAGTATACTGGAGACTAGTCTCCGAATTAGTGCTCAATAATCGAATCACTTATAGGTTTGTATTTTTTTTAGCAATATACGCATTTAACTTTAAGGATCTTTGTTTTATTCTGATATCTCCACAAGAGAACGCATCTAGACTGACCCAGGATCAAGGAATACAGTCCCTCGAAAAGTAAGAAAATTACGCCCACTCAAAATTCATGCACATTGTCTACCATTAAAAGTTTTATAAAACCAAATTGGTGGATTTTTACTTCAATTTTGAAGTTCCTATTTTTTAGTCTACAGCTTAAGTGGCTTGATGGATATTGGCATTATGAGATGTCTCAAGATTTGTCTGTCAAAATGGAATGGGGTACACTAAAATTTTATAAAATCTAAATCGCGCAATTTTATCGAAAATTTCAACTTTGAAGTTTATTTTCCATTGGCTTAAGAGAGATTTTGACATATAGAGCGTCTCTAGAATTGTCTGGACAATGCAAGTAACACTAGGTATGCTAAAATTTTGTAAAATCATAAAGGCATATTTTAAACGTAAACTTCAGTTTTGAGATTTCTATTTCACGGACCACAGCCCAAATTGCATCATGGATTTTGACATTTGAGGTGTTCTTAGATTCGTCTTGATTGCACAATTGAGTCTTCATTCTTTTCAGGTACTGCAGTAGGACTGTTTATATTTTTTAAAATGGCGCTACGTAGATTAACTCTATACTTATCGCGCCTTCTAGTTCAATTTGGCATGTAGCTTAAGAGCATCAAAAAGACGTAGGACTTAGAGCTATTTGGGATTTTCATAAAAAAAAACTCATATTGCAACAATGACCGTGCCCATACTCAGTAGCCTCATTTCTTTGGAACTCTGGTGTAAAACTGTTTCTCAACATTTTTTGGTAACTAATTATAATAGCTCTTCGTACGTACTTATATACTAGTAAACTCATTAAATTCCATTCCAAGCATAATGCTCGTATACAGGGTGCTAATTAAGTATGTACCATAAATTTAACAAACCATTATTTGAGTTAGTTTAAGACAAAAAGTTCATATAAACATGTCCGCAAATTCTTCGTTCTCAAGATACAGAGTTTGAAAAATGGTTTTTCGTAAATTTTTTAAACTTTCTTTGCCTAATTTTGTTGTACACGTATTGTTTTGTAAGATTTCAGTTGAAATTATGGCGTCAACGTTACCAGATGTTTCTGGTGTATCCATTGATGATCTTACATTTTCTTCAGACGAAGATGATTTGATTATATTAGAAGTAGAAAGCGACGTGTTCATTGGATCCATCCATACATTGCAAATAATAAGAAGAAAAGAATGTTTGTTGCTGCACGTGAACTTTCAGAAGGTGATAATAAATTCCGAAGTTTTTACAAAACGATACGTGTTCGTGACGATGCGTGAGTCGAACATCGCAGGTCTCGTAAGCGTTGCGTCGTAACGAAACGACTAAGCTTACGATGCGTGTGCGAAGGCCCTTAGGAGAGTCCGCAATTCGATGCTGAGGCGGCTAGACGGTTGTATTGAAGCCGAAGGGGGCCATTTCCAACATTTATTTTGTGAAATTTGTAAGACTAGATGTTGATATTTAGTATTTGTTGTACCATAATTAGTAATAAAAAATTATATATAAAAAATAGTTTCCAAAAGAAAATTATTCCATACTCCTTGTGTGTTCCAGGGATATGCAATTAAGTGGGCTTTTTTTCTCGAAAAAATTCAAGTTATAATTCTATTTGTCAAATGACAAAAGTGAGTGGCGTACATTTTTTTGTCACAAATATTCGTTCAGATCCCGTTCCTTGACGTCACTGGTCTTAATAAACTTCATCAAGTTAAGCTCCTTAATGTTATAAATACCACCGCCAAATTACAACAAAATTAAGTGAAGGATATTTAAAATATTTACGATTTTTTTTTTTATTTTCAACACCCTGTATCTTGAGAACGAAGAATTTACCGAATATGTTTATATTTTTGTCTTAAAATTCCTCAAAGAATAATCTTTTAAATTTATGGTACATAATCAACACCCTGTATATGAGATCGCTCCCAGGATGCACATACGAGACGTCACCGCACCGCGTCGGCACTCATCTATCTACATAGTTTTTATCACTCGAGTCACCTACCATTACGTACAAGAGCGGCGCGACCGATAAATACGCGATCCATCTGCTGAAAGAAATTTACAAGTTTGTAGGGCGAAATGTATGATGTGTGAAATATGTCTGACAGGTGCATAAAATTACCGAGATTAGAAGAGTATAACATCGCAAAATTGCAATACACTCTCCCCGACACCCCATTATTTACTCCATAAAATGTTCTCAAAACGATCAGCTTCTTTTAAAACGCCGACATGGTTTTCGTGAGGTACATACATCTCATATAACATCCAGAACCATAATATCTCATTTCAGAATTTTTTCGGGATTACAATACTTCACCGCCACTAGGCGTTGGAAGTGAAAATGTACATGTCTCTTCCCTTACGGGCATTTGAGGGGTGAGGGGGGCGGTGAGGTAGGAAGCAGCAAAAATCAGATATATGATGTTGGATTCTTTCGCATAGTGACTATGACTAAGGCCCGTATCGTTAGTCGTCCCTACAATTGTAGGGCGCGTTTATGGCCTCCTTGATTGTCATAGTTTTCTACTTCTCCGTGTCAGCGCTCCATTTTGAGGTTTCACAAACATCTATTATCTTCTGTTGTGGATTTCAGGAATTACGAAGTGCTATACGTTCACATCTTTGACTTTTTTACGCCTTTCTCTAGGGGTTTTCATTTGTTGTATATGTATATATATATATATATATATATATGTATTTATGTGTATATGTGTATACTCGTACATGTGTGTATGTATGTGTATATGGATATTTGTGTATATACCAGTATATTCTGGTTTCCTAATATCTATTGATCATATTTATAGTTTCTTTTTTCTCTACTTAAAGCGCCTTCCTCTTTTCTGTGTTTTTTATTTTTGTTTCACTTTATGACACATAGACTGTGTAAATTAAACCATTGTATTATGTATTGCTCTCTAAATGGTACCTGTACTGTTGGGCAATAAATGCTTTATTATTATCTATTTGCATCAAATTGTGCTTGCTTTTGAGTTTTATCAGCCTGAAATTTCCTACAATTTAAAAGGAAAACATATCTTAACAATAGGAGAGCGCTGACGCTGACACGGGACGAGAGTATTCTAGAAATTTTTGAAGGAGAGAAAAGAGTATGACAATCAAGGAGACCATAAACACGCCCTACAATTGTAGGGACGACCGACGATGCGGGCCTAAGAGTTTTACCACTTGCCAAAGCGGTATTTTAATATCTCGCACGTATTTTGGCTATGTTCGCATCTTCAGGGGAAGAAAAAAAATTAAAAACTGGTTTGGCAAGTGATAAAACTACATTAGTGAAGAACTGACTTCGTGGCACCTTGATACTATGATATCTAGAGCCCACAAAATTATGAAACTAGGTTCGAAATTACTCTCTGTTTTATGACCGTCTGGCCGCAGAACCATTATTGTTCTCATAGGCCCATCCCACTTCCCAATACAAGATACCAGATACAGAATCACCATACATTTCTACCTAAAATATTGAACGCTGTCGAGTATATAGTACTGGACATTGAGCACGTTTAAGATATATAACTTTATTTAAATTCAAACATATCCAATAGAACGTGTACACAGATTAAGTGTGGTAGAAACCGAATTAAAACTGTACAAAACGTCAATAGTAAAGCATCAAGTAAGAAAATAAATAAAAAATACATTTCATAAGTACCGTCAGTATACACCAGGTACGACGGACTTACTTATATTTTTCATTCACTATTTAAATAGTAATACTAAGTACCTCTCAACTATACTATGATCATACATGGTATTTCCTAAACTTGATATAACTATAGTTTTAAGATTTTTATGGGAAAAGAGAGAACAACATACTATTATAACTACTGGTTAATTATACATTTAAGTATTAACAGTTTGTGAAGTCAAGCAGCGCAACATGTAGAAGGTGTCAATAATAATCAGGTTTTACTCTTCACAATGTTATTTTTGACGAATAGTCTGAAATTGTGCGAAATTATGAACAGATGTTATTGCGCAATCAAAAGAATTTGAGAGAATATGTAAGAGAATGAAAAAAATTAAATTAGCCTCAACACTGGATATTCAAACAGAAGTGAAGTCAACTTTGTGTGCTGTATTCAACATCGAAATGTACTTCAAATAGTCGTGCAAGTTATAGTGATTTTACTTGGAACTCTTCATCATCTGATTGAACACTTCAACAAACTTTATACATTTGCAGTGCTTCTAGATTCAACATAGGAATCCCTGATGTCAGTCGACATCAAATACTTTTGATACATGTTCATTTCTTGTTTTTTTTTCATTTTATATATAATTCAGTGGATAATCAGATGTGGCGGCACTATATTTTGAACTATGAAATACTGCCAATAAGCACCATAAAGCTGAAAATTAGTACAGAAACAAGATAAAATTGCAAACAAATATTTGTAATAGAATCACACAACAGAGATAAATAAAATTCACACTCTTAACAAAGACACAACTTGCAAGTATAACTGGTTACTAGACGATTGAAAATGTAAGAATACGATGGAGACTCAAGGTCCATTGGATAACATTAAGAGAAACAAAATTTACCTGAACAAAAGTTTTATATGAAATACAGATCAAATAAATATGTCGAGAAATTTCCCACATTTGAATGTTCGGTAACAAAATTAAAGAAGCCTTAAATTCAGTACCATAGGAAATGAAAATAACAGGTACACTGCTAAAAACACAGCTTTATGTTGTATTTGTAAGAGAACCTATAGGAGCACTATCTATCTTACAGTATTATGCACAGTGGCAACAGCGCATCTTGGACTGTCATTGCCACACATAAGCCAGAAAATTGCGAGAAACCACTAGCAAAGCTACTAGTATACAGTTTCATCACGAAGCTTGAAAGAGTTTTGAAGAAATTAAACTGCATACATCACGCATTAACATTTAGACTTTGCAATTCCAACCATATCTCCCGCACTGCAACTCTGCACCAGGTTTTGAACTGGTACATTACCCACCTTATTCATCAGAACGTTTACAACGAAACAGATTTTCAAATAATCAACAGGTGGCATCCGCTGACTGAACAAGTGTAGCAGGGATTATGTAGAAAAATAAGTGAAATGTAGTTTTTTTTGCAAGGGGAACAAAAGCATCAACCCTCGTACATATAGAAGCTTTTTAGGCTATGTTAAAATATGTTATATGAAAACTAGTAATGACATTCGATCTTACTTTCCTTCCCACTGTGTTTCAAGACAGGCATAATACCGTGATAGACCGCACCCCCTAATAATCAATCAAGTAAAACCTCATTTTGACTTGCCGCTGCTTCACTTCTGCGCTACGGCGGGTGATACCGGTACGGAAACAACCGCCTCTGGGGTGCTAACTTTTGAGACGATTTCGGCCAATGGGGAAGCGCCTGGTGTTGAGGCCTGTTCGTTGATTGGCTCGGAAGATGGGCCGGGGATCACTTCGACGTTCGTTTCTAAGCGGGAGCTTGTAGAGGTGGATGCGGCATCGATGGAGTCGATTGAGGCGGCCGGGGCCTAGAAAATAGTATTATTGACAGTTTTTTGTCAAATATAAGATTTTTAACACTCGTATCCAGACCTAATATATTCTGTAATTTTATTTGTCTTCAAAGAGTGTATAAAGAAGAATTTTATACAACAAAGACAAAAATCAATGATCTAGGTTGACTGATCTGATACAAGTCCATAGAGAAAACATAGGTTTTTGTATGAACAAGCTGATGTATTTTTGAAAATATATCCTGTTTTAAATTAAGAGTGATAAAATAGTAATTGCAGTCATTACGTGTACGTTGAGCAGGCCCCTCCTTCTTTTGATTGGTCGAAACCCACTGATTAAAAGGAAAAACGCCGGGTCATTCCCTTAAAAAATTTAAATGACGTATCAAGCGAGAGCTTGTTTGAAAGATCTTTCGAAGTCCCTTATTTTGACGTTTGACTTTTAAAATCAGTCGATGCGTTTTCGAGAAAATTAGAGAAATCTTCATTTATCTTAATTTGTTCAGATGGAAATCAAAAACACACGAAAATATAACTTTTTATTTCAATAAGTGTTCAAAATATTGCTCGTTAGGGTTTGTCAAATGTACAATTCGTTGATCATATGAAACGGAAACTACCAATATAAACAGCAATTCAGAAGATTAGACGTGACGTAACAACCCACATCTTTTCCGCATTCTTTCCATCAACACAGATATCCTCGGCGAAATGTATTTCTTGTTATACCTGTTTAGTTATTTGTTGCTAAGGGAAAGAAAGAATTTAATTTGCTGTCAGTTACCTTTGTGACAATCTTGGGATATGGAAAATTAATTTAATGATTCAGATTTAACTTCCACAACTAGCTGAAAGAGTGGAAATGATTCTTATTTATGGTACCCAAAATCAATGTGTTCGGCAAACTGCTATCACGTTTAACGCCAGACATTCGGGGCAGATAGCATCGCATAGGTATGTTTTGAACCTTGTTACTGAATTTACTCAAATTGGATCTGTTACAAATAGAAAACGTGATCATCGGAGAGTTTTGGATGAAACCGCTCAAGTGGAAGTTTTGGGTCATTTTGGAATAAACCCTTTCATTACGCAAAATTGTTGCTGCGACTGGTATTTCATTAGGCTCTTTACTCTTGAGTTTTTTGAACTAATGACTGCAACGATTAATGACAATACCATGTAAAGAATATCTGCTTCAGTGACGAATGCACATTTTATATAAATGGATTTGTTAATAAGAGTAACTGCAGGTATTGGAGCAATGGAAATCATCATGCTTTTGTAGAACGGCATACCCAGTACCCCCAAAAAATTAATATACGTAGTCATGCCATAAGTTCTGTCCCTCGTTTTCAAACAAGTGTAGACCTGTTAATACTTGTCCGATTGTTTACATTGTGGTGTCAGTTGATTAAGCGCTTTTCGGGTAATTACATATACCTCAGTTTGTATTGATCTCTCGAAGCATAACGATGGAGTGGGGCAAGGCAGAGAACCGTATTGCAGTGATAGCTTTACATAAGTGTAATCACAGTGCTAGTCAGATTTTTGAACTCTTACGCGGCCTTCAAATATCGCGTAAATTTGTGTCTAGGACCATTCAGCGGTACAATGAGACGTCCTCTGTTGATGACAGGCCAAGAAGCGGAAGACCTCGTCAAGTAAGGACTCCAGCAGCCATCAAAGCCGTAAAAGCCAGGATTCAAAGGAATCCACTCCGGAAGCAGAAGATCCTATCCAGGGAAATGAAGATTCCTGTCCGGACGATGTCGCGCATCATTAAACAAGACCTAGGGCTAGGGGCTTACCGGAGACGTACGGGCCAGCGACTTACGGCCACCTTGCGACACATCAGGGCGACAAGATCCAAGAAGCTCTTGGAGAGGTACGCAGCTGGGGGATTCCGAAAGATTTTGTTCACGGATGAGAAAATCTTCACCATAGAAGAAAATTCAACCGACAAAATGACAAAGTGTATGCAAGGAGTTCACAGGAAGCTTCGGAGATCATTCCGAGAGTTGAGAGAGGCCACCACCCTGCGTCAGTCATGGTTTGGTGGGGGGTGTCCTACGAAGGGGTCACTCAGCTCCATTTCTGTAAACAGGGCGTGAAAACAAAAGCGGCAAACTATCAGAGCGACATACTGGATCCTATCGTCAAGCCTTTAAGTGGTACATTGTTTGCCAACCAACACTGGGTCTACCAGCAGGATTCCGCCCCCGCTCACAAGGCTAAGAGTACGCAGCGCTGGCTGGAAAGCAATGTGCCAGAGTTCATTGCTGCGGAAGATTGGCCCTCAGGGAGTCCGGACCTCAATCCTTTAGACTACAAGTTGTGGGACCTGCTAGAGCAGTTGGCCTGCTCCAAAGCCCACCGTAATATCGAGTCCCTGAAAGCGGATTTGATCCGATCAGCGGCAGCTATTCCTTTGGAAGCTGTGCGTGCAGTGATAGATGAGTGGCCCGCGAGATTGAAGCAGTGTGTGAAGGCCAAGGGGGGACATTTTGAATAAAACTGTTTGATTATGAATTCTAAAAATGTTGTCGAATAAATAATATCTTTCATATAAATATATCTTGTTTCATTTTTATCATGAGATTATCATGGGACAGAACTTATGGCACGACTACGTATGGGCAGGTATTTTAGGAAACAAAGTGATTGGGCCAATGTTTATTAAGGGAAATTTGAATGGTAACATCTATTTGGATATGTTGGAAAATACCATCAATCCGCTTATCACTGAAACTACTGAAAACCAAATTGAAAGAGGATGGAAGTCCTATACTTTGATGAGACTGAAATATGTTTCCAGCAAGACGGCGCTCCTCCTCAGAATGTTCTTCCGGTTCGGCAATGGCTAGACGACGAGTTTTCAGATAAATAGATACGACGAAGAGGGTCTATAGAATGGCCTGCTAGATCTCCTGATTTGACGCCATTAGACGTTTTTCTATTGAGCCATTTGAAATCTATTGTGTTTACTCCCCAACCTGAAAGTTTGGATGAACTTCGTCAACGCATCATCGAAAGCTGCCATGATGTACCACATGTTTTTGATAATGTCCATCGGGAATTTGAACATCGCCTATACCACTACGGGCAACATTTTGTACACTTATTGAAATAAAAAGTGATATTTTAGTGTGTTTTTGTTTTCTATCTGAACAAATTGAGATAAATAAAGATTTTTATTCGATACCCCTCGCCATTTATAATTTTCAAAGGGCAGAGGGTGAAAGGAGTTGAGGTAGTTTTTGGTTACAAAGTTGTCCCCCTTGAGAAATCTTTTGACGTGTCTCGAAGTTTTTTCTTTTAATCAGAGGTTTTAGATAAATCGGTGAACTGAACACCCTGTATATACATACAGAAATGCAAACATGTTTAACCAATTATATGAAATTAAGACATATCAGTGCACTAATCCTTACACATCTAGACTATGGTGCTACAGTATACCGTTCAAAAAAGGTAGAAGAATGCATTAAGAACTTCGCAAAAATCACGATCAACACAGCAAGTTTCATTTTGACCTATGGAATTGCAATCTGACAGTTGGAGTTTCGGAATAAGGGTGCTGGGTTAGTATTATTTCACAGGGATGTGTAATAAATGAAAACGTCCTTACCAAGTTGGTAGTATCAGTTCTGGCGGCTTGGGATGTTTCACTTTCAACGGTTGCAGAGGACGAAGCTGCGGCAGCCGCTGCCATTGTAGCTGCAGCAACACTAGGCCCGACGCCGACTAGTTCAGCTGGATATGGTGGAGGCATATCTCCCACAACATCCCTGAAAACAAAATCAAAAGTGTTTCTGTATAAGCGACCTATGGCATATAGCAAAATTCAAGGATGGCACGTTGGTGGTGGTAGACATATGAGGTGGTGATGGATTCGTCTTAGCAGTGCAAGCGACACTATACAGGGTGTTTCAGTTTATTGTTGCATAACTTTAAGATTCGATAGAACTTTTAAAATGAATGCATTAAGTCTATATAAACATGGTCGAAAATGCGTGGCTTCCGAAATACAGGGTGTTTAAATGTACTTTCTAAAATAGTTTTTTTAAAATATTTCGAACAATATTTGATATATAATAGTGAAAATTGCTATACAAGGGTTTTTTCGTATGACAAAACGAACCATGGGCATAGTTTTACTGTAGCCGCTAGAGGGCGCTCTCTACTGTACCTGTAGTGTATTAAAATGACCGAAAAATTTTTCTTCGTGCAATTTTTTGCTCTTTGAATAAAAAACTGATTCTTCGCACTTTTCAACATAAAAAAGCTCTCCTGTGAGTTTTCGTTAGCCGTCTTTGAGATATTTCGATTTTTAAGGTTCGATGCATTTTTAATTATTTATGATAAAATAACGTTAAAAAGTCAGTATGTCGATTATTTTTAGAAGTAGGCTGTGCCTGCAAATATTTTTGAAATTGAAAGCAGAATAAAGTTAAACGTCAATTAGTTGACAGGTAGTTTTGTTGCCTGTTGAAACCTGAAACGTTTTTTTGCAATTGTGAATGCACGAAATTTAGTTTCTTTTACCTGTTTTTTTTTGTAAGTTTTATAAAAATGCCATTTTTATTTTCCAATCAAGAGTTAGCGGATATTCATTTTGTGTATGGCTTTGTAAATGGAAACGCAGCAGAAGCAGCCGGAGAATACGCACGAAGATTTCCAAACAGACGACATCGAACTCGCTCAGTATTTGTAAGAGCGCATCGCCAAATAATTGAAAATGGTTTTGGAAATCTCCAAAGGGATCAAAACATAAATGTTCGTCAGCGCAGATTTACCCGTATGATTCTGCGTGAGTTTGATAGAGATCCGACCACAAGTGTTAGGAGAGTTTCTGGTGCTGGGAATTTCAGCAAGCCATGTTCACCATGTTCTTAGAAATGACCATAGACGTCCTTACCATTTGCAACCTGTGCAAGGACTACAGCCAGGGGACGGAGAACGAAGAATCACATTTTGTCAGTGGATTCTTGATAGAACTGATAATAATGGGAGTTTTTAAGTAACGTTTTATGGACCGATGAGTCATGCTTCACTAGACGCGGAGTGGTAAATTTTCATAATCAACATATTTGGGTCGCATGAAATCCGCATGCAGTTCGGGAAAGAAATTTTCAGCATGAATTTAGTGTGAACGTGTGGATTGGTATCTACCGTAATCGACTTATTTGGACCCTACCTTTGCCTGCAAGGTTTAAATGCTGCGACCTTCTTGGAATTTTTTAAAGGCTGAACATGCAAAATGTGGGATGATGTTTATGTTAGATTTTAGAGATTGGCCTGGTTTCCAGCTTGATGTTGTCCCAGCTCATTATTCGAGAATAAATAGAAACTGGCTGGACGAAAATTATACAGAAAGATGGATCGGCCGTGGAGGACAGTCGCCTGGCCTCCACGATCCCCTGACCTAAATCCATTAGATTTCTTTGTGTGGATTTCTAAAAGAAAAAGTGTACCAGACTCCCGTAACCACAAAGATATGCTAATAGACAGAATCAGGAATGCATATGATGAAATAAGGCCTTATTTGAATAATGCTATACCACGTTCGATCATTCGTAGTGTGAATTGTGTATTGAACAATTGGGTTTACATTTCGCGCAACTACTTTAGATTTTGTATGTTTGTCCTAACTATCCAATAGCATTTTAGTTGTAAATAATTAATTTAATTTGTTAAAAATAATATTGGAAAATTAAACAAATTAATATTGTGTTTTTTGTGTTTATTTGGAGTTAGGAATTATTGCTGTGTTTAAAAACACAATCTAAACGATCATCTTAATTACTTGAATGCCCAAATCGAAAATGTAAAAAAAATATTATTTTCCCATAAATAATTAAAAATGCATCGAACCTTAAAAATCGAAATCTCAAAAACGGCTAACTATAACGAAAACTCACAGGAGAGCTTTTTTATGTTGAAAAGTGCGAAGAATCATTTTTTTTTCAAAAAGCAAAAAATTGCACTAAGAAAAATTTTTCGGTCATTTTAATACACTACAGGTACAGTAGAGAGCGCCCTCTAGCGGCTACAGTAAAACTATGCCCATGGTTCGTTTTGTCGTACCAAAAAACCCTTGTATACCAATTTTCACTGTTATACTCGTACATCAAATATTGTTCGAAATATTAAAAAAAACTATTTTAGAAAGTAAATTTAAACACCCTGTATTTCGGAAGCCACGCTTTTTTCGACCCATGTTTATATAGACTTTATGCATTAATTTTAAAATTCTATCGAATCTTAAAGTTATGCAACAATAAACTGAAACACCCTGTATATTAAAATTTTATGAGATAAAAACTGCGAGATTTAAACGCAAATTGCAACTTTATGGGCTACAACCCAAACAGCTAGATGTATTTTGACATTTGAGGTGTCCTTGGAGTTGCCTTGATATCACAATTGATTCATTTTTTGCAGCAGCGGTGGCCGCAGTGGTAGACACTGTCTCCTGATCAGTTGCCGTGCGCTGCGAGGGTTCGAATCCCGTCCCAAGAGAAATTTTTCTCTTGGCTATGGATGTTGTGATTGTCCGTAGGTGGTAGACGGTCTCTGACTGTCGAACGCAGCGGTACCACCCGGCGGATCTCTTAGGCGGGGCCAGAATGTGTGCATGCTGCATGCACACGTCTTCCCTCGCTAGAGTCCGTGTGGCGTCCCCCTTTTCCCCTGTATCCTCCTATAGCCCCACGGTACCTCATGGGTGTTTTAGGGCTTAGGCCTTCGTGGTAGCTGGAGGAAAAATATTACTGCAGTCAGATTGTATGTTTTTATAAATGTATATGTCTTTTTCTTTATAGACATGAGGTCTGGGGCGGCCCACCTCCACAATTCAGATCTAGCAATGTCATTTTCGAGGATGTTTTGAAAACCAAAAACACACCCGCCACTCAAACGGAAGCCAGGGGATAAAGATGATTTATTGTCTGAAAATACGATGTTCTTATTGGCAAAGCAAACTTTAAACTATAGCAAAATTACGTATGTGGATCTTAGGTAAATGTATTTTAAGACTCACCCAAGAATAATATGGATTATATTAGGTTTCCAAGTTCACGGTACAATATACCCTTAAATTGTTGATTCTTTTGATAGCACCAGAATGTAAATTTTCAGACCATTATAAATTATTGAAACTTCCACAAGTGTTGGTTTTGGCAGTATTAATTTAAAATCTTGTTTTTTTTTAATATCGTAACATATTTAATGTTTCAAACTTAGATCTATTTTTATTGGTCTAACACATAAATTTAACGTTTTCCAAGGAGTAATCGCAAATATCTATGCCGCTCTAGAACCACAAAATATCAGAAACGCTCTCTTATGGTTGAGTTTGAACAAACGGTCGAAGATTGAAAGCCTCCAGTTAAATTGCATCTATGGTTTTTTGATACCTTCATCAGGATCTATAGTTTCTCATGGCTGTAAATTTCAATGAAAGTAGTGTTTGCTACCTGTAACTAGGCGGCGGGGTTTGCTTGACGGCCCAGGGAATCCCCCGAATGCAGCCTCCTGATCGAAGAGGTAATCTGGGTCAGACGGATGACGTCCGCGCCTGCCGGAAGTACCCTCTCCAGTTTCTGGAATGATGTAATGGACAGTGCTGCGAGTAGATTGTTGTCGCAGGGTTAAATATTTGTAGCAACGCCATACTACGCAGATCCAGTAGGCCTGGAAAGATGAAAAAACCTTAAGGTAACCAAAGTTACTGAGAGTAAAATAGTATTAGAATTTACTCAAAAGACCCTGTATATTTTATACACCACAGAGTACTACCAAATCCTAGAGCATGTTAAAAATCTTGTATGTTGCATTTACTATGATATACAGTAGCGGACAAAAGTTTGGAAATATCCTTAGTAATTTGTAAGAAGTTCGCTAATTTTGTATTCTTTATTATTGAGGACTATTTTTTTGCTCATATAGTTTGCATATAGTCTTGAGGATACAAATGACAATTTGTGTTTGCTGTGGTAGTACAGACTAGCATTAAAATACCTTCACATTATTTTATGACCAAAATGAGACGACAAAAGTATGGAAACATATTTTTTATTATAAAATTAAGTACAATAACTACAAAAAGATTTAACAAATACTGTTTAGCAAATATTTGATAGCATAGCATTTAGCATTCAATACTGCCTGACATCTGCTGCTCATAGAAGGCACCAATTTTTTACAGACGTCTGTTGGGATCTTTTGCCACATATTTTTTACCTAATCAAACAAATCGTTCCTATTTTTAAAAGTTTTTCTTGTCAGTTGTCTTTTAACATGCTTCCAGAGATGTTCTATAGGGTCTAGGTACGGGGATTGCGAAGGACGTGTAAAATCATTAACATTTTTAGTCTTGGGTCATTATCTTGCTGGAATGTATATCGTAAAGGCATTTTGTCTTCAACAAAAGGGAGCATGTGTTCACTAAGAATATCTTGTAAAGTTTTTGATCCATTTTCACAACAATTTTAGCAATTGGACCAGTTCCAGAACCAGAAAAATAGTCCCAAACCATGATGTTGCCTCCACCGGCAACTGATACTTTTTGTCGAATCTTTTTCGTATTGGACGTCTCACATATGCCGTACCGTCAGATCCAAACAAGTTAGATTTGCTTTCATCGCTTCATAAAACTGCATTCAATTGTTATTCTGTCCAACTTACTTGAGTTTTAGCAAATTCAAGCCGAGCAATACGATTTTTTTTTAAATGGGAGGCTTTTGCACTGAACGCCTACCAAAAACCCAAAATCCACCAAGCGTATCTGCACTGTTGTGACAGAAATTCTCGGCACCCTCTAATATGATTCTTTTGAAAATTTATGTGGCTGGCGTTCGAGGATCTTCATGGGACAAACGTTCAATGTAGCGATCCAAAACATAATCGGTTTTTTTCAGTATCCGCATCTGAGCCGCGTTGCTGTTGATCCGTATTCTTGATATTTACTAATAATTTTCGCAATCGTCCCTTTGTTCATTTTAATCTTTGAGAAATGTCAACATTTCTGACACCACTTCTAAATAATTCAATTACTTTGTCTCTTAAATCTTTTGATTTTTTTTTACTTTTGCTATTCTCACTGATGTTAATATTTACCACACGCAATATCAGAGCATCGCAGAACGAATAAATACGGCAAAAGTGAAATGTTTCCATACTTTTGTCGTTACAAAAGTGTCAAATAGGTCAAAGTGACCAACAGTAGCTGTCACATCTGTATGTAATCTGTGTTAACACTTTCAGATTTGTTAGCTGCCATGAATGACTGGTCAGTAATGAATAAATACTGAGTAGCCATTATAAACTGCTGCTTTGTATTATGCTACATGGGGTACATAGTCAATTCAAAGTCCATGTATACTAAGTGACATATAAATCCGAACACCCAGTTTAAATGGTTTTATTTTAATAAAAGTTGGTGAATGTATTTATCTTACTGTAAATAACAGTGAAGCCTTATCAGTTGGACATTCCGGTTTTTATACTGCTTTTTTTTAATTCACTAACGCTCTAAAAATGAATATTTCAGCCGCAGTAAAGAATCAACGTTGGCGGATTTTGGTTCTTGACATCCTTTACGATCGGTTACGATGCCTAGAGTACGGAGACCTGTACGATTTCGTCAACTTAGTGAGTTTGATAGGGGCCGTATAGTGGGACTTCGGGAAGCTGGACCTTCT